TGGCCAGTCCCTGTAGGTCTCAACCATCTTCTGCAGAATATGCTTGATGTTCTTGTTGGCAGCCTCAACAGCTCCGTTGGTTTGTGGTCGGTATGTAGATGACTTATGGAAAGCCACGTTGTATTTCTCCAACAAGTCAATGACTTCTTTCTTAAAATGGGAGCCATTATCTGAAATAATCTCATTCGAGACTCCATAACAGCAAATGATGTTGTTTCGGATGAACTTATCCACATGCACTGCCTTCAACATTGCATAAAACTTAGCTTCCATCCACTTCATGAAGTAATCAATTGTCACCAGAATATATTTATGCCCATTTGAACCTTTCGATGTGACTGCGCTGATGACATCGATTCCTCAAACTGAGAGAGGCCATGGTGAAGTCATGTTATATAGCTTCGACAATGGGATATTTATGCGATTGGCATGAATTTGGCATTCGTGGCATCACCGAAGAAAACCGATACAATCCCCCTCCATAGTAGACCAGTAGTAACCTTGCCTGAGAATCTTCCGAGCTAACATTACTCTGTTCATGTGCGCACCACACTCTCTCCCATGGATAGCCTCCATTAGGCACTTTGATTCCTCTGTGTCGACAGATAACTTGTGCATTCCCAGATGACCCCTCTTGTACAGTGTACCTCCGCAAATGATAAATTGAATGTCCATCCACCATAATGCCCTCTTATCTTTGGCATTTGTCCCTGGTAGATAAACCTCCTTTTCCAAGAAGTTCCAAATATCGTAGTACCAAGGATTTTGATCTTGCACCTCATCTATTGCGGCAATAATTTCATAGGCTGGCATATATCTCTGCTCAATGATGATCGGACGCATCCGGACGCCAAATGGGATGTCTATCATAGAAGATAGAGTTGATAAGGCATCAATAAACCTGTTGTTCTCTCTTAGAAGATGCGTGAAGGTCAGCTTCTCAAACCTACGAATCAGAACTCCAGGGTTTAGTGGTCTTTGTTTCAAGGTGTATGTCTAATATTGAGGACAAACTGCCGCAGTTTGCTAGATGAATAGGCTAGACATGCTACTATGCTTTATGGGATCTTGGATATTCTTAAGTCCAGAGATCAGCTAATTAAAAGGAAAATTTAAATACTTCGTAAAAAATTCTAGCTATACATATTACATAGGAGACAAAATTGTTTCAAAATTCTAGCTATACATATTACACATGCAAATGAACTTAAAAAAGTACGATGGAAGTATATGTATCTTGTAGCTAACCTAAAAACCAATGGGCAGTAATCTGATGATCAAAAGCTGATGATCTGAAATCAAGGGATGTAGCTGGGGCTGGTCTTCCAACAGAATGTCCGCACAAATGCACCAGAAATGAGTTACATTGGAACACAAAAGATCTGAAATCAAGGGATGTAGCTGGGGCTGGTCTTCCAACAGAATGTCCGCACAAATGCACCAGAAATGAGTTACATTGGAACACAAAAGATCTGAAATCAAGGGATGTAGCTGAGTTACATTGATGGTCTTCCAAAAGATTTAACTTCATTACAGTCATTGATTGGCAACATTGGAACACAAGAGAGTGAATTTAAACCATTATTTGTCTTAGCATAAAGAACATTATTTGTGTGATAAAAAATCAATTGACAGGAAAGGTACAACTTCTGTCTTAGAAGGAAAAATTCAAAACCATTCTCGATACCAGGGTCACCAATTCTGGCAAAATATTTCAACCATGATTAACTTCATAATCAAACAAAAATGTTCACGCACAGTGAAACTGTGGGAAATGGTCCATATACAACATCTAAATAGAACAGTGAGTGCAAAAACTGAATTCAAACGGGAAAATGACGTTGATCCATCAGTCTGATAAAAGGCACATATAGAAAACAGTTCAATACCATGCTCTGGCAGAAAAGATTTTGTGCACGCATACATATATAAGGGTTTCTCTCTGGCTATTTAGCTGTCAACAAATATCAGATTAGAAAACCTTTTCATTATATACTTGGAAGTGAGATAATTTGTTGGTCATCCATAATATTTGTATAACAGAAGTGCCACTTTCAACCATATGAGTAGTGGAACACAATCTGAATGAAACAGAGAAAATGGAAAGGAAAAGAAAAAGGGCCGATGCTACTGGCCCCTTTCATATAAATCTCAACCTCTCTCTCTCTCTCTCTCTCTCCTGTATGTTTATTTGTTGCCGTTATCTATAAGAAACAATAGCAATTGACTGCATCTTGTGGTAATGCAAGTTTCTTAAGCTCCACTAACATGCGGAGAGGTTTTTCATGTGATTTCTAACTCTTTTTTTTTAATTTTTTTTTTGAGAAGCAACAAAAGATATATATTAATAAGGAAAAACAGTAACATAGGGAGGCCAAGATGTCCTCAAACAGAAATGAAAACAACAAAATAACAGAGCAAATAAATAGACATCCCTAAGACTAAGAATGACAAATGGTATTTTTTTTTTTTTTGAGAAGCAACAAAAGATATATATTAAAAACCCAATACAAGGACTGAACCTTGTCTTAGCAGTAGTTGAAAATTTGTGATAATAGAAAAGCATACTTTTGTGTACAACAAGGTTAATATACAGTGAGCTTCATCTTCTATTTTGAGAATGATGATATGATATAAAACACAGGTAATAAAAAAAAATGAGTTCAACCTCTATTTTGAGAATGTGAACAGATACCTGAACGAAGTGAAGTTGAACGAAGTTGAAGTTGAAGTTGAAGTTGAAGTTGAATTTGAGTCCTCAAAGAAGAGTCAGTAGAAGCATCATTGCTGCGATTTTCGAAGCTTCCAAGAACTGCGGTTTTGAGCATGTAGAGAGAGGATCGATTGGAGGGGTCGCCGAAGCCGAAGAACTTCGCCGGAGAAGAAGCTCTGAAAGCTGGGTTAAAGATGGCTGACGACGGCTGATAGGCGAAGTCGAAGATTTAGGGATTTCGATCCAAATGATTCAAAGTTTGAGGGACTTCATAGATTTAGGGATTTCGAAGAATTAGGGATTTGTATCGAAATGACCGAGCGCCAAAATTGGGGAGAGCGGGGCAAAAGTTTTGTTATTATTTTTTTACGACGGTAAATTTTAAACTGTCGCAAATGGTAGTTACATATTGCTAAACCGGCGCGTTTTTGATATTTTTTGGCGACGGACATTTTTGCCGTCGCAAATGACTAACTATTTGCGACAGAAACATTCTGCCGTCTCAAAAAACATATTTTTTTGCGACGGTAGAAAATACCGTCGCTAATAATCCCATATAATGACACTCCCTGTACAGTTTATTGTCGACGGTAAAATTGCCGTCGCTAAATACCTTTTTTAGCGACAGGTTAATCTGCCGTCGCAAAAGGTCATCTTTTGCGACGGAAAACGAGTCGTCGCAAAAGCTTCCGTCTTTTTTGCCTCATTTTCTTGTAGTGTATGGGTTAAAACAAACTTCTCAAATCCTAAAAAACTATGGTCAGGTTGAGCGGGCTGGGTGAGCGAACGGGCGGATGCCCACCCCTAATGGCAGGGGGCGTGTGTGGTGGACCGCATTTGGTCTTCCCTCCTAATAAAACTTGGCGGGGCTTTTGGAGCTGACACTTGTAGAAGAACGGTCTAGTAAACCATGTCCCAGAGGAAACCGTAGGTCCAAAAAAGCATTTAATTGATTTAAAGAGTTGCCACCCGGTTATATGTCTCGGGAAACTTTATATATGAACCTCCAAGGATAAACATAAGTTCCATCATTACCAACTGAAAATGAGTTCGGGAGCCAGTTATATTACTAATTATGAAGGTATTAAGTACCCATTTAACTTAACCATGTGATTAGTCTCTAGTTAGCATGAATTTTTCTTTATAAACTAAAAATAAACTTACACACGCATTTACAAGATATAAGCAAAAAGACAAATAATCAAAGCAATAAAAATAATTATTACTCAATGACAAGAAAGGAAGAGGAGAAAAAAATCAAGACAAATCTTTTAGTTCAATAATGTAATGAAAAGAAAGATAATTAAGTAAACTTCCTAAATAACACAATAAATATGCAGAAAAAATGTAACATGAAATCTTAATTTTAAAGGAAGATCCTATCATGTTTCTAACTGTGCAAACTACACTAATATGCTGGAAATTAAATGAAAAATAACAACAAAAGGATCAATGAGCAGGGGGATAATAGAACGGTTGATGGAGAGGTGATTACTTCAGGCTTCATGAGAAGTTTAAGTGGGCCTACTCGGTACACACCTGGGTTGAATCTTGAAGTGGTTCTTAACATGGCCCATGAACAGACTTGTGATATGGGCCATGCTAGTGTGCTGCTGTACAGCCCAACTGTTCAGATCCAAACCAGGATATCAGTAACTTATTGTACCAAGCCCAAAATGTAGAGAACAAATAGACATATCAGAAGGGCTCACGGGAAGAAGCATCAAATTCTTATCAAATAAGAAAAGCTACCAGAAAGGAAAAAGCAAAAGGGGTTTCAGGTCACTATTTCAACAAGAAGGGCAGTCTTCAGTTTGGAAAAAATAGGAAAGAAATGTCGATGAACTTAAAGAAAGGGGCTATTTTCAAGTCAGCAGTAGCAGCAATTTCACTCTCCATGTCAAGTGAGTTAAGAAGGAGAGTCCTTAATGAAGCTGAAACAAATGTGCAGCTCAGCAAGGTCCTTGGGATGGACAACAATGGACAGGAAGAGAAGATTATAAGCAAACTTAATGAAGCTAAAACAAACCTGCAGCTCAGTAGGGTCCTTGGGTTGGACTGCAAAGGTAAAGAGAAGGAGATTATAAGCAAATTAATGGAGTGGGAAGAGAGAGATATTGTAAAGCTGAAGGAGAGGGAGGGCAATGCTAACTGAATAGCATCCCTAGGAGGTATAAGGAGTTATGGACATTTTGTAATGAAGCTCTTATCTTGGAATGTGAGGGGATTGGGAAAGCCAATTAAAAGGAGGAGAATAAAAAAGGTGCTCCTTGACAATAAAGTTGACATGGTGTTGCTGCAAGAGACTAAGAAATCTGTGAGTAATGAAAAGTTAGCTAGGTCAATTTGGGCAGGAGAGATGATGGATTTTATGGCTGTGGACTCAGCAGGAGCTGCTAGAGGTTTACTTTGTGTATGGAATCCAGAAGTGTTTCAAATTTAAGATTGTTGCTGCAATGAAAATTTCATTCTCCTATCAGGTACGCTTTATCATAGTTTTCAGTGTGTGGTGGTGCATGTATATGGTCCTAATGATGCAATTAAAAGGAAGGAGGTGTGGGATATCCTGTTAAATATGAAATCAGTATTTCCAAATCCTTGGTGTGTAGGGGGGATTTCAATGAGATCCAGAGAATATCAGAAAGAAAATGGTGCTCTAGAATGGATAGGGGGATGAGAGAATTCAATGCAATGATTGACCAATTAGAGCTCAGACTAGATGTGTAATTTTAACTTCAAATTGTGGGATGAGAGAATTCAAATTGTGGATTAGACAGATTTCTCCTTAACACAGACTAGATGTGTAATTTTAACTTCAAATTGTGGGGTCTCCCTAGAAGGTTTTCAGATCATAGCCCTATCCTACTGATGGAAGATGACAGGGACTGGGGCCCTAGATCCTTCAAATTCATTAATGCATGGCTTCTTCATCCAAGCTTTATGAAGGTAGTTCAAAAATGTTGGTCAGAAACAATGATAGATGGTTGGGCAAGGTTTAAGTGCTTGAATAAATTGAAAGCTTTAAAAGCTACATTAAAGTAGTGGAATAATGAGGTCTTTGGTCATGTTGAATTCAAGCTGAAACAAATTGAAGAGGAATTACATACTTTGGACTTACGGGCTGAAGAAGGGTCATTATCATCATCACAGGCTGCTAGAAGGAGGGAGGCTAAAGGGGAAGCATGGCAACTAAGCAAAATGGTAGAGTGGGTGTGGCTGCAGAAATCAAGGCTGAATTGGGCAATTAAAGGTGATAGAAATACAAAAAAAATTCACATTATGGCTTGTAGTAAGAAGAACGGGAATGCCTTATGTTCTATTGTGATTAATGGTTCTGTGGTGGAGAATCCTCAAGATGTTAGGGCTGAAGTGAAAAATCATTTTCTTAACCACTTCTCAGATTCTTGGTGTAGCAGACCAGTGCTGCTAGGTCCTTTTAACACCATTGGAGAAGATCAAAGCTCTGAATTTTGGAATCAGTTTTTTCAAAATCTGAAGTGAAGGCAGCAATTAGGAATTGTGGGGGTAATAAGGCTCTTGGCCCAGATGGATTTAATTTTAACATGTTTTAGAAATGTTGGAATATTATTAAGGGTGATGTTCTCCAATTTATGACTGAATTTCATCAGAATGGGAAGTTGGTTCGAGGTCTTAACAGCTCTTTTATAGCTTTGATTCCAAAAAATGATAATCCCTCTAGCCTTGCAGAGTATAGGCCCATCAGTCTTATAGGTTCCTTGTATAAGATCCTTGCAAAGGTACTTTCCAATAGGATAAAGAAAGTAATGCCTAGAATAATTAGTGTTACACAATCTGCCTTCATTGGGGGAAGAAATATTTTGGATGGGATATTGTTTGCAAATGAGGTTGTTGATGGGTGGAAGAAGGACAAAAGAAAGGGGGTAATACTGAAGCTTGATTTTGAAAAATCATATGATTCAATAAATTGGGGATTTTTATTCTCAATGCTATCCAACTTTGGGTTTGGGGCTAAGTGGGTGAGCTGGATAAAAGAATGTGTAACTTCAACAAGTATTTCTATTTTGGTGAATGGTTCTCCAACTTCTGAATTTAAACCTCAGAGAGGGCTCAGACAAGGAGACCCGTTATCACCTTTTCTATTTAATATAATGGCGGAAGGTCTTAATATATTGTTGGAAAGGGCAAAACAGCTGGGTTTGATCAAGGGTGCAGTTGTGGGTTCTGACCTTAAGATCACGCACTTGCAATTTGCTGATGATACTATATTATTCTGTGAAGCTGAATAGGAGGAGGTATTAACTATCAAGAGAATATTGAGATGCTTTGAAATTTTGTCGTGCCTGCAAATCAACTACCATAAAAGTGTGGTGTGTGGGGTGGGTATAACGTCAACTCTATGTCAAGAGTTTGCTTCTAAATTACACTGCATTTATCAAAAACTACCTCTGAAATACTTGGGAATGCCTTTGAGAGCCAGCCCTAGTAGAAAGTTGACTTGGCAGCCTGTGATTGAAAAGTTTAAATTAAAGCTTGCCTCATGGAAAAGAAGGTACCTCTCTTTTGCAGGTAGATTAACACTTATAAAAGCTATGCTGTCTAGTTTGCCTATCTATTATCTTTCTCTGTTTAAGATGCCTACAAGAGTAGCAAAGGAGATTGCTAAAATCCAATCAACTTTTCTTTGGGGAGGCTCGGACTTTAGAAGGAAAATTCATTTGGTTAAATGGGGAGAGGTTACTCTTAGTAAAAGTCAAGGAGGGCTGGGTGTGAAAAGAACTGACCTGATGAATGTATGTTTACTATTTAAATGGTGGTGGAGGTTTGGGGCAGAAGAGAAATCCCTGTGAAAGGATGTGATTTGCAAAAAATACTATGGATCTACTGATGTGTGGTCACCTGCACTTGTAAGAGGTGGAAGAATGTCTAAAATATGGGAAGACATTGTGGGAATTGTAGTATCTAAACCTGAAATGCTGGGCTTTTTTCATTCGAATACTACAATTGAACTTAGGGATGGCTTGAGGGCAAAGTTTTGGCTTGATAATTGGGCTGGTTCAGTTTGCTTGAAGGATATGTTCCCTAGACTCTTTTTATTGGCTCTGAACAAATCTGAATCCGTGTCTATAGTGAGAGCTAGAGTTGGTCAACATGATTGGTATCCATTGTTTCGAAGGAGTTTATTTGTATGGGAAATGGAGGAATTAGATAGATTGAAGGGGATGTTGCTTAATGCATCTGAGTTAAGGGTGAATGTCACTGATAAACTGAAATGGATAGCGGATCCTTCATGAGTGTTTTCTGTCTCATCAGCATACCATTGGTGCGAATCCTCCTTGGGTGCTACTTTCAGGATAATAGAGTGCATCTGGAAGAATGTGGCACCCCCAAAAGTCTAATTCTTTGGCTAGCTTGCTTGGAAGAGAAGGATTAAGACTTCGAACTATCTTCAAAGGATGGGGATTCTGGAGAATTATACTAGTTTACATTATGTGTTCTGCAATGAGGAGGAGGAAACAGACAATCATGTACTCTTGCATTGCTCTTTTGTTTGGTTAGTATGGTCCAAAATTATGAGATGGTGGGGTATTCAATGGGTGATATCAAAATCAGTGGATGAGCTACTTCTTTGGTGGTCATGATCAAAGTTCAAAAAATTAGAGAAGAAGATTTGGAGAATCATTTCGTTTGCGGTGTTCTGGTCAGTATGGAAGTTAAGGAATTATTGTAGGAACTCTGTGAATTGATCAAAGTGAGAATTGCAATATGGTTCAAAGCATCATGCACAGGTGTGCCCCTCTCAGTAAATGACATTAAATTTAATCTACATCAGCTCAGATTTTGCTACATGTGATATATGCTAATTTATCAATTCTGGTTTGGTTGCTGATATCTGTTAATTGGTTAATTAATCATGCTGCTGATATCTGTTATCAATCCTGCTGCTGATATCTGTTAATTGGGTCTGGGGTGGACTGCTGCTGGGTGTTTTTGCCACTGCTGCAGAGTGTTTTTGCCGCTGATAATCTGCATCAGCTCAGATTTTGCTACAGGTGATATCTGCTAATTTATCAATTCTGGTATCAATCCTGCTGCTGATATCTGTTAATTTGGGTCTGGGTTGGACTGCTGCTGGGTGTTTTTGCCACTGCTGCAAAGTGTTTTGCTACTTCAGGAGCATTGGTTTTTGCTTGGTTCTAGTTAGAAGTGTGTTTTGCTGCTGGGTGTTTTTGCCACACATCAATTAAGAAGTGTGGGCTTTTGCCACAGCTGCAGAATTGCTATTGTTCTTGTTCAATTTTGTTGCTGCTGTTGTTTAATGGGTGAAGATTGATGTCTAGGAGGGAGTGTGTTTCTTCTTAAGGAAGCTCAACCCAATTTTCAGCTCAACCCAACTTTACTGCTGTGATGATAATGTTGTTTACTGGGGGAAGATTATTGCTTCAAAAGGGTGTCTTGTGTTGGGTGTCTTGTTTTGGGGTTTTCCCTATTTTGCTCTGTATGTTGGTTACTCACCAACTTCGACCTTGGAGTTAGTGTTAGCAGATGATTTGGTGGGCTTCTTGGTGCCAACCTGGTTGGGATCTTGAGGTTTCACTGTGATGTTTTTTGCACCCTCCTCTTAATTGATGTAATTTTCATACTTTGTATGTTTTTCATCAATAAACTTCTTTTTTGCTGATAAAAAAAAAAAAAAAAAAAACAGTGAGCAAATCATGGCTATAAAACGCAAATTAAAGGAAAATATGGATGGGCCTATCTAAAGAGGAAACTCATGGCATGTTTCATGGGCATATGATACAAGTTGGAGTTTAAAACTGTAATTTCTCGCAGCTATTTCATGCTCAAACAGTAGGTATTCCAATGCTAAAAATCAAAGAAAACGTTGTGACATGCAATTCAAAACTTAACTACTTACAAACTAAAGAAATGCTAAAAGGAAAAGCAAAATACGTATTTTTACAATCTAATGAACTTTAACATGGAAAATCCGTACTCTACCTCAAAGATACAAATCTTACATACACAAACACTTAAAAGGCAATAAATGTGATTTTCTTGAATAACATATGAGAGAGGATTATTCTAAGCATTCATAATTATGCAATGACTATATTATGGCTAGCTAAGCATGAAAAACCACTACATTTGTATTAAAATTTATCACTACATGATTAAGAGTCAAAACATGCATTTTCAAGCAACTATCTATGCATTTGGTTAAAGAAATAAATGACAAAGTTAATAAAAACTAGGAAAACAGTAAGTAATACCTATAGAAGCGCGATTGAAATAGCAACAAAGCCGCCAGCCTTGTCCTCCTTCAATTATGACTCTTTACTTGAAGATGACTAGCTTGATTTGAAGACTTGAACAAGATTTTCAATGTTTGAGAGATGGAGAGTGTTTAGGTACTGATTTAGGGGCTTCCAGATAGATGATTTCAAAGGTTTGAGAAGATATTTACACTAGACTTTAGCAAGATGAAGAGAATTGAGATCTCCTTCCCTCGCCAATACTTAGCTCTAGTGTTTCTCAAAGTTTTCTCTATGATTCCACTATCCTCCCAACTAAAAAGAGGCCTCTATTTATAGAGTCAAAGGTCTAAGAGGGTGGGGAAAGTCAACTAGACAAATCTTGGACCGATGTGCAAGGACATGCAAGTACAGTTGCAGAATAGCACACACCAGTCACGATATAATGCCTATCATATCATCATATGACACCAGCCATTTTGTGTCGACACGATATGGAGCATGCCATATCACATTATAGCACATGCCATATCGTGACAGTACAACACGCGCCATGTCATAAAACACAACCGAAACTCAGTGTAGTATACAAAAGTTAGTGCGGTATATGCCGTGCTTAGTCTAGTTTGCACCATGTTGGTCAAAACTCAGTATACGAGCATCATTCTAAGGAAAACTCGTGACTTTTGGGCTTTGTTCTGTATTTTGAGCTTCTAAGGGTCAAAAATGAAATTTTAAGTCTTTGAGAGATTAAAAAAAAAAAGGGTTGGGAAAGGGTGTTCAAGCCTACTTCAAGTGAAATCATCTTTTTTGGGCCATCAAAAATGTGATCTTTCTTGATCTCTTCATTGGGAATACAACAAAGGTATCCAAGAATTATAACAGGTCCAAATGGAGAGCACATATATAGCAAATGTCCATTCGCTGGATTCTGCATAAATTAACAGGTATGATTAATTGCAAAAACTAAATTTCACCTTGTAATTGTTAAGTACTACAAAGCACTATGCAAACGTCCATTTTTTTCGATCAGCAAAATAAAATTTGCTGATGAATAATGTAGTACAAGAAGTACAACAAATTACATCAAGAAGTTTAAGAAAAAAATATAATTGCTTAAGAAGCACATTCCAACTAAGGCCAAGTTTGGGTACTTCCAAAAAAGTCAAAAAGCCAAAAAGTTACTCAAAAAGTTAAAAAGTTAACACTATTCACCAAAAGTCAACAATTACGGCTGCACAACTCCCAATTCAAATTTTTCCCGACAAATTAATTTTTACAATTTTTTATTACACATTTTTCAATAAAAAGTCAAAAAGTTAACCCAAACATCCATGTTTTCAACCTCAATTTTTTAGTCCAAAAAGACAAAAAGTGCACTTATTTAGTCTTCCCAAACTTGGCCTAAGTTAGAATATGCCCCAAGCAAATCAAGTAAGAATCCCAGACCAAGCTAAACAAATTTGACAAGACAACACTACCAATACATTAAAACGAACACACCCAGAAACACAGCTACACACCTAAATTCAAGACTTCTGCAACTAACCAGAGCAATAGAACACCAACGTACTAAACTCAAGATGAGCACCAAAAGGCCTCAATGGAGCAGTCCACTGAAAAAAGAGGCAATAATAACAGAGCAGTTGTCCAGCAAAGTCTTCTAATATGGACAAGTCCTTCCAAAATAATCTCTCAAGTTTGAAGCTTCCATGCCTAACTCTATTACTTCCTGATTAATAAAAGCCATGACACTTAAAAAAAGAAAAATACCTCTTCACTCATAAAATCCCAACATCATAAAATCAAATTGAAGCAAAACCACTCTTAGCAGATTCATCAACAAGGAGAGCCAGGCACTAATAAGAAAGACATCTATGAAGGCTCCAAACGATGAACATAATACTATCAAGGCAGAAATTGAAAATAAGAACTGGTGGAGCCTACTCTATTATTCCACATATTGCTTGTGAATATTCTTCCAATCCTGGGTAGAACAAAAATGACCATTTCATCAATGAATTATCTAAAAACCAATTATGCCTTCGCTACATCTTAGACAACCATTCCTATCGCCAACTATGAAGACTTCAAATAAATCCTTTCCCAAGATCCAAGGGGCAGAAGAACATTTGATAAAGAGCACTGAGCTGAGACCAATTGAAAGCACTGAGTTTCACCAATTGGCTCATCGAAGTTCACCAAAACACAAAGGGAACCTTCGTGCAAGATGAAGTTCCTAAGAAATAAATTCCTTTGCAGAATAAAAGAGCCTTTGGCCTAAATTGAATGTAGACCATCAAATAGATCAACCTTTTACTAAATTTCTGTACAAATTCACCGTTTCTCAGAACAATCTTTTGGGAGAACACTATAGCTAATTTCCTGGACATCACAAGCTTCCTAATTAATTTCCTTAGACCTCTCACCTTCCATGAAGGATAGTTGAGAATATGCCATTGAAGCACCAATATGAGAAAAGGGCATGACAGATATGAGTGAGGAATAAGGCTTGCACTCAACCATGCTAGTCTTGGCGAGAAGTCGTCGATATTTTCCAACTCTTTTACAGGAAACAAAAAGTGCATGTGAGTGACTAAAGAAGCAATATAGACTGAATCATTGCCGATGATGAGTATATCATCAACGTAAATGAGCATGATTATAATTGTAGTGGAAGTCTTTCGAATAAAAAGAGAAGAATCATGGTGGCTGTTTTTTAAACCATTGGAAAGAAGGAAAGAAGAAAAAATTGAACACCAATCTCTAGGGGACTGTTTGAGTCCATAGATGGCTTTGGTTAGCTTGTACATAAGATGAGGATAAGCTTAATCAACAAAGCCCTGAGGCTGAGACATGTAGACGTCCTCTTCCAAAATACCATGAAGAGGCATTGGAAATGTTCAATTGCTTAATTTTCCACTGAAACTGAAAAGCCAAGCAAAAAGAACCAGATAGTAGGTTGCTTAGAAACAAGACTAAAGGTATCATGATAATTATTGCCTTCCTCTTAAAGATACATTTTAGCTACTAGTCTA